GGGGGGGGGGGGGGGGGGGGGGGGGGCTAGACAAAGGATGGCAGTTGCCGGTAAGCATAACCAGTTTCATCTGCTGCGTCTGCAAGAGTAAAAATGCAACTGCACACCCGACAGGAGATTTCGGCGCTCTCGTTTGAGTATATATGAGGCTGACTGCGACACACTGACGGGGATGGGGGTGCTCTTTTCTTACTTCGGTGGGTGGTTATGCGAGTTGTGGCATATAGAACTGTTTTTGGAATGTCTCGGAAGGCGTTGCATTTCGTAGATTAAATTGAGAATGATTGGAGCTTTTGTTTTGAGTGGTGAGCAAGTTATTTTTTAGCACTTGAAGTTCTATATGTTGAAGGATATGGGTGTTATGGAATAGAATAGAAATGAGTTATTTTTTAATTGCTTTTCGAGCAATTCGAGCAATTAATTTGGAGGGAGGATTGATATATCACGATCTGATTGAATCCAAATTATTTGCACAAATCATTATGAATTGTTCTATTGGATGAAAATTAACGTTGAAGACGTGAATACACTGAGTGAACTCAATTGTTAGTTCAGGGATATCGTCTAGTCGAATATTTCGTGAAGAAATTATAAATGAACAGGCTTTGAAGCTTAAGATTGCAAATGACGGAAAAGTGAAAGCCACTTTGTGAGAAAAAAAATGTGAAGCTCATACATTTCTCTATACTGTTAGAAATTTGTTGAAAATTAAATAATAGTTAGACTTGAACTATCAATGTTGTGAATTTGAATTCAATTTAAGATCAAATCGTTCATGGAATCTCTCGTTCAGGTTAGAATTTCCGGATAAATCGATTTCCCATGTTAGATTATCACTGAAATTTCAACGACATTTAGAGTTTTCAAATTCATTGCGGAAATTAAACATCACTTCAGGGAAATTGTTGCTTGAATTTTCAAATTACTCAATAATTTTCATTATCATGTGGACCTGAGAAATGCAATTCCATTGAATACTCCAGAATTCAACTGATTTCTCAATAATAAAATACATGAAAATTTCTTGTGAATGGGTGATTGCTAAAAATTGCAAGATTTTTTACTTGAAATTTCAGAAGTAATTTCATAACAGTGAACTAAAAAAAAACAGAACAATGTAGGATAAGGTATTCTTCAATTCACTGAAAATCAACATGTAGGAGAAAACCCGATTGAACTCAACTATTAGTTCAGGAGTACTGCCAGCTCTGCAATTTTATGAAGAAACTATGTATGAACAAGAGAACATAACTAAGATAATACATCTCCAACAATGATAACACATTCTCTGCTGCAATTACACCAGAGGAAAGAGAAGTGAAGACAACTGTGTCGATGGTTGGGTGTAACCAGTCATTTTGTGTTATGCTTTTCTAACAAAAGAGACATACTGGAGAGGTGAATTAGGGGAGCGCGGGCTGCAGATACGGCGGGTGAGGGGTTTAAGACGGGCACAAGGTAAGGGAGGTTATAAGAGTTGAGTCTGAGCAAATGGAGGACACAAGAGGGCACGCGTGCACCCTGCGAGTCGTACATTTTGCATACTGATGAGGCCACTT